TCTTTCTTTCTTTCTTTCTTTCTTTCTTTCTTTCTTTCTTTCTTTCTGTGAGACAATCAGGGTTAAGTTACTTGCCCAGGGTCACACAGCTAGTAAGTGTCAAGTGTCTGAGGCCAGATTTGAACTCAGGTCCTCCTGACTCTAAGGCCAGAGCTCTATCTACTGTGCCACCTAGCTGCTCCCCATATTAGTTTCTTACCAGACACTATTATCCATTACATTTATATAGTACAATTTAATAGCCATTCCCCAGTTGATAGGAATTCTTTTTGTTTCCAGTTCTTTTCTAAGTCAAAAAGTACTAGATCTGCTTTTTTATCTATAAAATAAGATGACTTACCTCACTAGCCAGTCTCAGTTTCCTCATCTATAAAATGGATATTATAATATTTGTGCTAATCATCTCATAGGCTTGTAAGGAAAGCCTTGTGGACTGTGAAACCTGTGTGTGTGTTTGTGTATGTTGTGTGTGTGTGTGTAAAATTGTTATTATTATTATCATCACTGTTGGTCCTTCAATCTTTAATTTGTCAAATAACTTTCAGAAAGAGTTGATTGGGAAAATTAGCCCATAATTTTCCCCTTAGACTCACAGAGAGCAGACAATTCACTCCAAACAGTCACTTCTCTTTGTCCCCATTAGGAGGGGAAGACATTGGATAGCAAAGGTTAAAAAGAGAAGGGGCTTTGTCCCTGGGGTAGACAACCAGACCAGAGTTAGCCAATGAACAGTTCTACCCTTGTACTTAATTCTCTAGGGTTATACATTCATTTCCTTACTTCTTATTAGTATGTCAATTCAATTCAACATGTTTATTTAATATCTCCTATGTTCAGTGCCCTCCTCTAGGCGCTGGGGAGATAAAGATTGGGGGGGGTCTTCAGGGAACTTACATTCTATTGTGTGGGGGGAGGGGACAGAAATGAAATGTTCACAGATAAGGAAAATCAAGTTATTTTAAGGCTGGAGAGAGTACTAACAACTGAGAGGATTAGAAAAAGCTTTAATTTAAGTTTTGTTGTTGTTTTTTAAACCCAACTTTGCCTGTGTTGGATGGGGTGGAGGAGATTTGGTTGTTCACTTAGGTAAGTTGTTTTGGTGATATCCAGGTATGTCAGCAGAGCCAGAGAGGGACAGGAAGCCCTAACCGAGACAGTCTGGGATTCAGTGCCAGTAAATTATCAAGGAACCATCTGGCCTGCTTTTCTCCTGGGCATTTCTTTTTATTTCCTGTGTGATGCCCTCAGGGAGCATGGCATGGTACAAAGGGCCATGGGTTTGGGGATGAGCAGACCTGGGTTCTAGTTATGCCTCTTAGTCACAGTTAGCTGTGTGACTTTGAGCAGATCACTTCATCTAAAACTCAATTTCATCATCTGTGAAATAGGGATTAAACAACTCACAGAGTCAGGTTGTTATAACCATGAAAATGCTATGCAAGCATGAGCTGTTATTTGCTGTTCTGGCCAAGGTATAGACAAGCCCTCTCTTTCCCTTAGTTCAGCAGAGACAGAGATGTTTTTCCCTCAGAAAGGGCTTTAGTAAGTAGCTAAGGGGAAAGTGAAACAAAGCCAAATACCAAAGCATAGGGACTTGACAGAGTGAAGAGATCTTATCCTGTATTTTGTAGCTAGCCACAGCTTGGCTTGGCTGGCACTACATACAACCCACTCCTTTTCTCCATCTTAACTCTGCCTGGGGGTGTTTCCTTACCGCAGCCTTTCCAGATTCCAAGGCTAGGCCCCAGCCTGGGGTTCTCCAGCTAGCTGGACTGCAGGCATCTAGGGAGCCAGGCCGCAGGGTACTGCTCTATGTTGAGGGCTCCCCAGACGTCATTGCCAACATTTCTGTGCTGCCCAATGCCACCCACATCACTTTCCGAGGGCTGGTGCCAGGTGCCCAATACCGAGTCGATATTATCTTACCCTCAGGGGTCACCACTCAGAGCCTGGTGGGGCATACCTGTGAGTATCAGGATAAGGTAGTATCAGAGGAAAGGGTGGCGTAATGGGATGGATCATGGTGGCATCTGTGGGTAAGGAAGGGTGGTTGCTCAGTCATGCTGTGTTGTGGGAGGGCAGAGATCAGGAACCCAGGCAGTCACTCCATGAGATGTGCAGAGTGAGAGATCTCAGTGGTTATCTGGCCAGTGGGTATGTCCAGTCTTCATCATTAGGTCTTACATCCTTGCAGGGCCCTGGGCTCCACAGTCACTGGAAGTCACAAGCAGGGGCAGCACCTCCAGCCTGGATGTCCGATGGGTGTCTCCAGAAGGAAGGCGGGATGGCTACAGGGTTTCCTGGCAGGAAAAAGGGACCCAGAAGACCCTAGGCTTCCTCAGTGTTGGCAGCAAGCAAACTAATCTGACTCTTGGAGGCCTCACCCCTGGCTCCTGCATCATCGTGTCAGCCTGGGCCTGGGCTGGGCACCTTAATTCTACCACCCAGAAGGCACATACTTGCACACGTGAGTTCCTAGCTCTTCATTGTCCTGGCTTCTACTGTACGATATCGAGCGTGCTTGCTTTATTTCCTGGCTTTTCGTATGCTCTGTAAGAGTGGTGATAGTAAGGAGGCATTCTGTATCTGTTTCTTCTCTGTGTCTGTAGTTCCTGCTGCCCCTGCCAACCTGAGCCTGGGAAGTGAAGGCAAACCTTCTACCCTGACTGCCCACTGGAGCCCACCTCCTGGGGCCTTGGATGGTTACCGGTTATGGCTGTATCACCTAGCACCTCTGAGATTGAAGGGAAAAGAAGCACTCTCTTCTGATATTCAGAGCTTCTCCTGGCCCCGGCTACCCCGAGGTGTGGAGTTCATGGTACAGCTGGTGGCCCTGCGGGGTGTAGATGAGAGTGACGCTATAAATGCCACAGCCTGGACATGTGAGTGAACTCTGGTGATTCTATCCTTCCTGCCCCAGCTTCCCACCCCGACTCCAGCATTCTTTTTTTATTTTTAGGCAACTGGGGTTAAGTCACTTGCCCAGGGTCACACAGCTAGTAAGTGTCAAGTGATTGGTCAGAGGCCAGATTTGAACTCAGGTCCTCCTGACTTCAGGGCCGGCGCTCTATCCACTGTCCAGCATTCTTTCTAATCCCCGGGGTACCACATCCCCATCCTAACTACTCGAATTCCTATACCTTCCTTGCCATCTGCAAGAGTTCCTGTGGGGCTTCCTGGGAATGCTGCATCATTCCTATTGCAGGGCATTGCCCATGGACACTCACCACACTGGTTGTTTCCTAGATCCTGAGGCACCAGCAAACTTGACTCTCTTCAACGTGGGCAGTCCCAAGGCCTCAGCCCTCCTGGCGTCCTGGAAATCAAGTGGAGCCCAGAGCTTTGAGCTTACTTTGTACCAGCTGCCATTGGGCAATGCCACTCACCATGTTATCCTCATGGGCAATGTCACCAACTATACCTTCTGGGGGTTGGAGCCAGGGACAGCTTACACTTTGAGGGCTGGTGGCATTGGGGGACCTTATCAGGCCTGGGCCCCCAACCTCACTTCATGGACTCGTAAGTAGCTATGTTTCTAGACCACTCACTCTGGGGTATGTTGGGAAGTGGATAGTGATGCTTGTTGTGATGGCAGAGAGGCATTGAGGAGATGGAGAGAGTATCATAGAATTTTAGAGCTGGTGGGGGATTTCAGAAGTCATTCAGTCCATTTCCCCAGTTCTAAGTCAGATGGTCCCTAACCCAACTTAGACTGCTTTAGCAAGACTTTGGGTATAATACATATACATACACATGTACATATACATACATACAAATATGCATTCCCATGGCCAAGTAGGGAAGAGGAGAACAGAGAGAGTCTGAAGTCACCTAACCCAACAGTTTCCCATCCTGTGCAGGATGGAAATTCTAGGGATTAGGTATTACTATCTTCTCCCTGGCACTCCTTCTGGGCTTTTGTTTGGTTGGTATGACAGAAAGAGTATTGGATTTGGAGTCAGAGGTTTAATGACCAGCTATTTTGATTATCACCTATTTTACTATAGCCTCCCTAGGCCTCTGTTTCCTCATCTGTAAAATTAGGAACATGGGCTAGATTTTTTTCTTTTTAATATATTTTTATTTATTTCATTTATTTCCCAATTACATATAAAAAATTTAACATTCATTTTAAAAAATTTTGAGTTCCAAATTATCTCCCTCCTTCTTTTCCGCCCCTCCCTCCTCCTTGAGAAGGCAAGCAATTTGATATCAATTATACATGTAAGTTGTGCAAAATATATCTCCATATGAGCATGGTCTAGATTTTTTTAAAAATTAAATTTTATTTTATTTTCAAATGAAAATCCTCCTCTTCTGCCCACTTCCTCCCTTCCCTTCCCCCTCTCTCCCCATTGAGAAAACAAGAAAAACAAAAGCCCTATTACCGACATGTATAGTCAAACAAAACAAATTCTGATCTAGATTTTGAAGCTCCTTTATATCTGCAGGGCCTGTGAACTCAAATTCTTTCCACAGGCTATCTACCTTTTGTCTCAGGATCCAGCTTTTAAGACCATTGTCAACAGTTTCCAAGTTAGGCACTCTCTTGGTGTTATTATTCTGTGCCCCGCCCCCTCTATTGAGATTGGGTCTTGATCATTTCCTACTTCTGCCCTTAGCCTGGCACCCCCCAGAGATGGCAGCTGCCCCTCACTTGGAGTCTGAGGCAGGCGCTGGGGTGGTGATTACACGAGACATGTTTGGTGAGGATAACGGACTGATCCAATGGTATGGTGTTATTGCCACCACCAATGCCTCACGTGAGTGCCTGCACATGAGGTGGAGCCTGGAGACATTGTCTAACTTTGGGGGTGGGGTAGGGTCGGTGGGACTGTGATCCAGAGGCTGGGACATGCAGGACAGGAGGAGGGGACTACCCCAAGACCGGACAAGTCCGTATTTGGAATTAGCATTCAATGGTGGGTATTAGCAGGCTTGTACTAGGCTGATGGACCTCAGACTCTCTTGAGGCTAAGAAGAAGGGCAGACATTAAAGAAATGTGGCCATAGCTATGGGAAAGAACATGAGATGTGGGTTGAAGGAGAGGGTCTAAAACTTGTAGAGTTGATCAATCTAGCTACATACTTGTCTTATATGCTTCTAGACACAGCATGGGGAGTTTCCTTTGGGGGAGAGGAGGTAAGGAGGAAAGGGTCTGTGGAGAGGAAAACAACCTCTTTATGGAAAGTAGTCTATATTCCTATGCATTTCCTAGATGCCCTCTCTCTTCCTGCTTTCCCATTTCCCAGTGGTACAGCCATCCCAGGATGCCATCTCTCACACCTGGTACGACCATTACTACAGAGGACTTGACTCTTACTTGGCTGTCTTGCTGCCCTCCCCCTTCCGCCCAGGCCCATGGGCAATGCCTCGCTCTTGGACAGTGCCTGTAGGCACTGAGGACTGTGGCCAAACCCAGCAGACCTGCAATGGGAAACTCAAGCCAGATGCCCAATATAGGTGAGGACTGATGCTGAAGGGGACTGGGTGGTCATGGAGAGAGCCTGGTTCAGCCCATTAGGTTGGGCTGATTCACAAACAACACAGGTCTGCCTGTTCTTTGGCCTCTGGAAGTTTGCCAGCTGTTCCTGCCCTCCTGGGAAGAGATGATGGAAACAAAGTTAGGGGGAGCCTGGCCCAAGAAAGCAGAGGATGGGTGGCATCCCATGGCCCTGGGAAATCCCAAGTGCTCAGTATCTTCTAGTTCAGAGTCTCCTGTTGGGTAATTTACACTCTCCCCTTGAACCCTGAATGAATCCTCAGGTTCAGTGTTGCAGCCTTTACCAGCTCAGACCCAGTCAATCCTACTGTCTCCTTTACAGCCTTCTCAGGTAAGCAGGAAGTGAGAACATCTCATCTGCTACAGCTGCATTTGGGAACTAGGAGAGGGAGGGAGGGCATTTGTAGATTCTCCTTATGTGGTTCATTTCTAACACAAGGGGTTAAGATTGAGGTTAGAGGCTGGGACAAGCATTTCCCACATATGGTTACCACCAATATATATTACTACATGGATGAAAGTATAAAAAGGAAGGGAGGAAGAGAGAGACAGACAGATAAGAGAATGAATGGAGGGAGAGAGGGAGAGGAATGAGGGAAGAAAGGAGGGAGGGGAAGGGAGACTAGTATGTTCTATATTATATTATGTATAATATATATTATACACAAAAAAGCCGTATTACACTTTTGAACTCTAATAGCTTAAAGGGAGGGAGAGATCAGGAAGGCCTAGTTTCAAATCTTACAAGTCACTTAACCTCTCTGTGGCTTAGTTTCCTCATCCGCAAAATGGTAAAATGGTGACGGTGGTGGGGGCTTGGACTCTATGACCTTGAAGGTATATTCTAGCTCAAAATCTATGATCTAATGATCCCATGACTATGGTCACTCTCCCCCATTCCTCCAGGTTTGAGTGTTTCGTGGTCTCTGAGTGTTCTAGAATCCCTGGCTCAGATGGGACTGTTTACCCTGTTATTTATCTTGTGGTTGGTTGCCGGTGGAGGAGAGGGCGTATACTCACAAGTTGAGGACAGGACAGAAGTGAGCTCTTGAGCCCCATTCAGGATGCCGTCTGGCCTCCGCTGTAGAGAGGAAGACAGAAAGGAACCTTAGTATCTGGAGCTGGTAGGGTAGGCTGCTTATTAGTTTAAAAGTTTCTGAGCCTCAGGTGTTGGCATGACTCAGATAGGAGGACTGGGGGTAGCCCTCAGGGTGAGCTAGTTGAAAATGCCTTGATTTTGCTGGTTGACTGGGTACGCCATCTTAGGCAGCTCCATCCTTTCCTTCATCCTCCCCAGAGCCTCGGGCCAGTGTCTCAGGGGCATCGATGCCACTCCTGGTAGCATCAGGCATTGTATCAGGTTGCCTCTTTACCCTGGGTGCCGTGCTAGGCCTGCTGTGCTGTAGACGTGTGCGGGTTAAAAGGTAGGCCTTGTGGTAGAGGGTGCGGAAGGGGAGACAGGTAGAGGGGTTCCCCATGGACTCCAACTGTAGTTCCAGTGATTGAGGACTTGGTGATGGGTGTTGGGATCAGGTGGTTGAAGAAGAATGAAATCTCCTTTAGTGGGGGTGGATGTTACTCCAGCTGTCTGGTCCTCTCTCAGCTGACTTCCTTTTTTAGGGCAGAAAAGAATTATTTCTCCCAAGAGATGACACCCTACACCCAAATGTAAGTATTATTTCCTGGTCCCCTGCTCCCTGAGTAAGGCTGAGATTTCCAGATAAGCCTGCCTGGATGGATGAAGTATCTTATTTAATTCTTATGGAAAAGATGAAGAGATGTGGGATGGACCACAGGATCACAGCTTCAGAGCTGAAAGAGACCTTCAAGGTCCTTGAGTCCAATCTCCTCATTTGATAGATGAGTAATTAAATGACTAGCCTGTGGTCACGTAACTAGGAAGAGCCAGAGTTGGGATTTGAGCTCAGATCTTTCCCAATGACAAGTCCAGTGCTCTGTCCACACCACCTTTGGATGGATTCATAACTGATTGAATATTCACACTCAAAGAGCAGGCATTAAGAATTCCATGCCAACTTAGAAGAACCACCGTGGAGTTCACCATGGATATGTGTTGGACCTTTTCCTGCTTGTTTAGTCTTTCCATCAGTGACTTGGTGAAAGGCATACGAGAGATCCTCATCTTATTTGTGGAGGACACAAAGTCGGGAGAGATAGTTAACATGTTAGATGTTAGAGTTTAAAGATCCCCAAAGATCTTGGGCTGAATTGAATAAGATAAATTTAAAAGAGAGAAAGGTAAAGTCTTATACTTAGGTTCAAAAAAAAAAACCAACTTCACAAATACAAGATGGGAAGCGACAAGGTTAGATGGCAATTTATCTGAAAATGATTGAGGGTTTTGGTGGACTGCCAACTCAGTACGAGTAGGACAAAAATGTTTGGTAGGACAGAAGAAAACACATTAATGCAAAGGAAAAGACATTTATTTTATCAAACAGCAGGGCAAGATAAGAGATAAGGAAGACTCCTTCCATACACAGAGGCATATCCTCTGTCACATCATTGAACATGCGTAGAAGAACCCAGATGGCCATTGGACACAGGTGTTTGGAGCAATTCACAGTTCAGTTCCAGGAGGCTGCTTAATATCCTCAAGAGATCCCATCCATCTAGCTAGACGTCCCTACTGAATGATTGCTGCTCTCTGTTGCCACCTGCTGGTCTTCAGCTTTGAATCGGCTTCCCCCACCTTTGAAAAGAGGCTTTTTGGCAGCTCTTTTAACTTAAAATCCCAAGGGTTTTCTTGCGTCTTTTGTGATGTAGACCCCATCAAACTATACCCACCCTTGACTTAGGGAAGTTCTTGAGCATTTTTTCTGGATTTTAATTTTAATTTCTTGTCATGAACTTGACCAACATCGACAAATGGGAACATTTATTCCCCTACGTAAAGAATAGAAAGAGGGTTGGATGTGTAACTGTGAATGTCTTTTACATGAAACTTATTTCAAAGAGTGCATTAGTTCTAAACCCATCCTGATTGTTTGCATCTCTCTCTCTTTTACGTATTTCATTGACCCACTCTTTTTCTTTTTTGGCATCATTATGATTAACCCTTCTCCCGTCCCACGAGTCTTCTCCTTTCCCCCTCTAAAAAAAGCTCTCTCTTGTAAAAGTTAACATTGACAAGCAAAACAAACCCACAGACTGGCCCATATTTGAAAATATGTGTCTCACTCTGTACCTTGGGTCCATCACTTCTCTGTCAAGAATTGGGTAGCTTGCTTTATCTTCTCTCTTCTGAAGTCATTCTTAATCACTCAATTGAGCAGTTTTTAAGTCTGAAAGTCTTAAGAGCTCTTGTCTTAAAGTTGTTTTTCTTTACAATGTCATAGTTATATAAATTGTCCTCCTGGTTCTGCTTACTCCCCTCTGCATTAGTTCGTATGAGTTTCCCCAGATTTCTCTAAATCCATCCCTTTAGTCATGTCTTATAGTACAATAATATTCTGTTGCATTCACATACCATTCTTTGTCCAACCATCCCCCAATTAATAGTCACTCCTTTAATTTCCAGTATTTTTCTACAATAAAAAGTCCTTCTAGTGAATGTTTTTGTGTATAGATCCTTTCCCTCTTTCTTTGATCTCTTTGGGGTATATTCCTAGTAGTGGTGTCACTGAGTCTAAGGGTATCACAGTTGAGTGATTTCTTGATTATAGTTTTGGAGTGATCCTACCCATTAGTACCTACCCTCCCATATGCTCTCCAAAAACTATTTTCTTTTTTTATCATCTTTATCAATCTGATGGGTAAGAGGTGGAACTTTAGAGTTGTTTTAATTTGCAGTTTTTTATTAATGATTTAGAGTATTTTTATATGGTTCTTAAAAACTTGCATTTCTTTTGATGAGAAATGCTGTTCATATCCTTTGACCATTTATCTATTGGGGAATGATTCTTGTTCTTATAAATCTGAATAAATTCTTTCAGTATCTTGAATATCAGACCTTTATCAGAGAAATTTGATGCAAAGAATTTCCCAATTAACAGTGGCCTTTTATTTTTTACCATATTGATTTTGTTAAAAATTTTTTCAATTTTAAGTAATCAAAACTGCCTAATTTATTTCCTGTGATTGATCCTCCCTGTCTCTTGTTTGATCAAGAGCTCTTCCCTTAGATAGCTAGATAGTATAATGGTTAGGGCACTGGGCCTGAAGTCAGGGAGACATGAGTTCAAATTTGACCTCAGACTAGAGTCCAGAGTTATGTGGACTTGAGTAAAAGTCATTTAACTTCTGCCTACCTCAGTTTCCTTAACTGTAAAATGGTGATTGTAATAGCACCTACCTCCTAGGATTGTTGTGAGGCTCAAATGAGATATATTTTTAAAGTGTTTAGCATAGTTCCTGGCACATAATAGGTGCTTAAATCCTTCCTTCCTTCTCTCCTTCCATCCTCCTCTCCATTCATCCCTCCCTCCCTCCCTTCCTTCCTTCCTTTCTTCCTTCCTTCTTTCCCTTCTCCTTCCTTTTCTCCTCTCCTTCACTCCTTTCCCATAAGATTGGGAGTGCCCTAACAACAGGGACCGAGTAGTTTCCTTGTTTAGGATTCTAATCTTCCCTAGTGTCCAGGACAGGCCCTTGCAGGGTAGCCATGTGGCTGACTGACTGATTCCCTCTGCCCTCAGGAACATCCATCGGCCAATTCTTAGGCAGAACTTCCAACAGAGCTATAAGGCCAAGAAAGCCAATTCCCATCATACTTTCTTCCGGGAGTTTGAGGTAAGGCCCCTACTCTGCTTAGAGCCTCGTGACCGCTCACGGTCCCAGGTGGGAGGACAGGCTCACCTCCTCCTCTTCCCCACAACCCTCTTCTGAAGGATGAGGTAAGGTGATGCCTGGTTCGGCTCCTTGACCACCTGTTATCCATAGGAGCTAAAGGAAGTTGGCAAGGAGCTGCCCAAAGTGGAGGCAGAGAACCCTGCTAATACTTTCAAGAATCGCTACCCACATGTGCTACCCTGTGAGTGCCAAGCAGGCGTTAGAAGAGCGCAAGGGGGAGAGGCTAAAAGGCTTGGGATGGGGTCTGAAGTAGAGGATGACAAAGGGGTGAAGTGGGTGGGCTCATTGTCCTATCACTAAATGTCCAAAATTTGCCCCCTTAGATGATCATTCTCGAGTGAGGCTGACTTTTCTGGATGGTGAGCCTCATTCTGACTACATCAATGCCAACTTCATCCCGGTTAGTGCCTTCTGTCTGTCTGCCTGTGTGACAGGTCCATCTGTGAGGGCTTCTGTCCCTGCAGCATGCCTGCTTGACTTGTCTTTGTTGAGATAGGCTTCTCAGCTCATGGGCATTTGTGGATTGTGTGTTTTGGTTGCCTATGTTCAATTGAATATTTTTATCCATGTGGCACATTCCTATGTTTGCCTGTATTATTTATTTATACGTGTGTCCTGGTGGCATATATTTGTATTCTGATTATCTGTGGGATACTCCTGCCCTTGCTGTTACCCTATCATGAATGATGCCCATTCTATCCCAATGGGATATAAATAAAAGTATGTATGTGGGTATTCTATGAAGCCACTTTTGCAGGTTTGAGTCTTGTGGGTGTATACATACATGCATTCATATGTAGGTATGTATATGTATACACATACATGCATCTATACATTCATGTCCTCACATATTCATACACACATATATACATAAATGTTATTGGGGGATTACACTTGGGGATCTCCATGTTGTATTTATGGGGGGTGCACCATAAGGACAGTATTTGTACCCCTGTGCCTGTGTTCATGTGGCTCTGTCCTCTCCCCTCAGGGCAATACCCGACCACAAGAGTTCATTGCCACTCAGGGCCCACTCAAGAAGACAATGGAAGATTTCTGGCGGCTGGTGTGGGAGCAGCAGGTCCACACAATCGTCATGTTGACCGTGGGCATGGAGAATGGGAGGGTGAGTAGGCATACCTTGTAGTTGCCTGAAATCACCACTGGGTGTCAGCGCAGGCACCTTTCTCTTAGCCTGTGGATGAAAGTCCTTCTCCACAGATCTTCCCTACAGCCAGGGTGGAGGAGACAGGGATGTGGGACAAGTCTCCCTACTTCATGGAATGGAAAGACTGAGGCTCAAAGAAGGACAAGGTCTTCCCTGAAGCTGCCCAGAAAGTCTGGAAGTAGGTCCCAGAGATCCTCATTTCCAGATTTATGCTCTCCAACCACCCCCTTTTACCTGTTCCCACGTTCTTTTTACCCACATCATCTCCAGTTTTGGGCACAAAAGGGCAGAGAAAGCAGACAGGGCAGGAGAAATAGTGGATTGGCATAGATGGAGTGACTAAGGGAATAACCTGATTCATTCTTAGAATCCTAGAATGTCAAAGTCAGAAGTGGCCTTAGAGACCATTTAATTTCCCCCTTCCCCCACCAACTTAGAAGAGTCAACTGAGAACCAGAGACATGAAATGGCTTTTCTAAGGTCACCCAGCTAGTTGGTGGCAGAACCCAGGTCTCTTGCCTCACTCACTAGGCTACCTCTCAGTCAGTCAACGATGTAGAAAAGTCATGTCTCCGTACCAAACACTCCTAATTCTTTTAACCAGTCCTGATATGGAAGAGCTTTTAGACTAGGCCTTGGATGAGTGGGATTTTACAGTGAGAAAAGCTCTGGATATGGAGTCAGGGGACCTGAATTTGAATCCCAGTCAGACAAGGCAACAGACATTTATTAAGTGTGTACCATATACTAGGCACTGTGCTAAGCCCTGGGGATAGAAAGAAAGGCAAAAAGACAGTTCCTGCCCCTAATGAGCTCATGTTCTAATGGGGTAAACAACATACAAAAACTTGAATGTGCAAGATCTATCCAGTATAAATGGAAGGTCCCAGGAGAGGAGCACTGGCCAGGGGAGCTGGGAAAGGCCTCCTACAGAAAGTGGGATTTGAGGCGAGTCTTGAAGGAAGCCCAGGAAGTCAGTAGGCAGAGGAGAGGAGAGAGAGCATTCCAGGCATGGGGAACAACTAGTAAAATGGCAGAGAGGAGGAAGATGAAGTGTCATGGCCTAGGAATGGCAAATATGTCAATGGATTGTCCGGTACATGGAGGAAAGACCGGAAAAATAGGCAAGGTAAGGTTGTGAAGGGCTTTAAAAGCCAAACGGAGGATTTTATATTTGATCCTAGAGGTAATAGGGTAATAGGGAGGTAATTTGGTGTTTATTGAGTAGGGGAATGGCATGGTCAGAACTGTACTTTAAGAAAATCCCTTTGGCAGCTGAATGGAGACAAGGAGAGTTGCAGGTTGTTGTGATAGTCTAGGAAGGAGTTGATGAGGGGATGCATCAGGGTGATGGCAGTGTTGAAGGAGAGAAGGGGACAAATAGGAGCGATGTTGGGAAGGTAGAAATGCAAGATATGGCAAAAGATTGGGTATCTGGGGTGAGTACAAGTGAGGAGTTGAGAATGACACCCAAGTTGGTGAGTCTGGCTAACTGGGAAGATAGTGGTTCCTTCTCCATAAGGGGGATGTTTGGAAGAGGGGAGAGTTATTTTGGGAGGACTAAATTCTGTTTTGGACCTGTTAAGTTTGAGATATCTTATAGGTAGTTGGTAATATGAGACTGGAGCAGAGAGAAGTTAGGGTTGTCCATATAGATCCGAGTGGGAATCATCTAAATAGAAATTACTGTTCAACCTATGGGGTCCCATGATGTCACTCATCAGGATATCATAGAGGGAGAAGAAAAGAGGGCCCAGGACAGATCCTTGACCTGGATGAAGATCCAGCAAAGGAAGCTGAGAAGGAGCGGTTGGGTAGGGAGAAGGAGAAACAGAAGACAGGAGTGTCACGAAAACCCAGGGAGGAGAGAACATGCAGGAGAAGAGGGTGACCGATATGCCAAAGGCTACCAAGAGGTCAAGAAGGGTGAAAATTTAGAAGAGACCACTGGATTTGGCAGTTAAGAAATCAGCCCTGTCGCTTCCTGTCTGTGGTGTTGTGTGACTGTATGGTCAGATTACTTAAAATCACTTAACCTCAGTTTCCTCATCAGTAAAATCACGGATATGGGCCGCTTGGTTTTCTAGGAACACTTCCGGACTGAATCTATCACCCTTTGGTCGTAGATATTTGATAGGTGGAAAAGAGATGAGGAAGGGCCTTCTGGGGAGAAGGTACAGCATGGGCAAAGGGGTGGAGGGCTAGTCCTTTTTGGCAAGAGTGATAGAGATCTTGGAGATTGGAGGTAGGGTGATAGGTGGAAAGTGATAGGGTTCTTACTGCCATCCTTCACCTTTTCCTCCTCCTCCTGCATGTCTTTTCTGTTCCCTAGGTCCTGTGTGAGCATTACTGGCCAGTCGACTCCACTCCGGTCACTTTTGGTCAGATCACCGTCCGCCTTCTGGCAGAGGAGAAGGGAGAAGACTGGACATGCAGGGAACTCCGGGTGCACCATGTGAGTGTCCCCCAGGGCAGGGCTGTGTGTGAGGGGGGAGGGGAAGGTTCAGCTTGGAGGCTCTCTAGGCCCTAATTCTGAGGAGAATAATAAGGGGACCCCTCCTTTTGAGGATCTCAAAGCACCTTGCTTCTTTATGTATGCCCCTTACATCCCTGGGAGGGGAGCAGGAGGAGCACGGAGGCCCCATCTGACCTCATCTTCTTCTCTGAATTTTGACGTACTGGATAAAAAAAATTGAACCAAGAGTCAAGAAGACCTGAGCTCAGAGCCTGCCGCAAACACATACTAGCTGTGTGATCCTGGGCTAGTCACTTAATCTCTCACAAAATCAGGATCTTCCTCTGTAAAAAGGAGATAATAATAGCACCTACCTCACAAGACTGTTGTTAGGTTCAAATGAGATAACATGTGTAAAGTGCTTTACAAGCTTTAAAGAATTATAATTATATACATTATACACTATTCTTAGAGACACCCCTCTTCTCAGAGTCTTGGTGCTCTCTGGGTACCACACACAGAAGCATTCTGAGCCCTATGGTGAATGCTGAATAGGATAGGAGCTAGAATGGACAGGAAGTCAAAGGAAGGAGAAACACAGAGCTTGCTCTCAGAGAGTTCCCAGTCTCCCTGGGAAAGATGTAAAGGGTCGTTATTGGAATAGGTCTAGGGGATTGGCCCTTGACCCCAGATTGTCTCCTTTTGGTCTCAAATTCAAATTGAGCTCTAAAGCCCAAAGAGAGGCACTGAGAGTCCTGACCTTCTTGGACCCTGAGCCCCCTGGCACCCTGGGTTTAGTGAACTACCAGATGCTTAATCACTGCTCCCACCTCCCATCTCTGTCCCGACCTCTTCTCTCACCGCCTCAGTATCTTGGTTTTCAGTTCTAGCATCTATCCCTCACAGTGCCTGGCTCTGAGGAAGCACTTTTTCCTCCAGAGGGAAGAAAGGGGGAAACTCTCCTCAAAGATATTTCTAGTCGAGCCTTATGCCCAGAAAAAAGTATAATTCAACTGGACATACTCAGTTTACTCATATATACTTCACAAAAGACCATCCTTTTCAGTACAGGAGTTGCATATGCAGGACTTTGGCAGGGGTGGGGTGGGGGATGGGGGATGGTACTCTTCTTCCTCATCCGCTTTCTCCTCTTGCCTCCTTCCTCATATTTGTCTAGCACCTCAAGGTTTGAAAAGCACTATAATAATAATAGTCATCATCCAAAGTTTTTGCAAAATGTTTATTGTTAATAATAATAATAGCTAGCATTTGTCTTTAGTTTTAAGGCTTGCAAAACAATAAAAATAGCTAGTATTTATCTAGCCCTAAGATTTGGGGCAGCTAGGTGGTGCAGCAGATGGAGTGCTAGGCCTGGAGTCAGGAAGCCTGAGTTCAAATCTGACCTCAGACACTAACTAGCTCTGTGACCCTGGGCAAGTCACTTAACTCTATTTGCCTCAGTTTCCTCATCTGTAAAATGAGCTGGAGAAAGAAAGGCACACCATTCTACTATCTTTACCAAGAAAACCCCAAATGGGGTCATAAAGAATTGGACATGACTAAAATGTCCAAACAACAAAAGGTTTTGTATATTTGTTATCTCATTTGATTCTCACAACAATCTGGTGAATTAGGTGTTACTATTCCCATTGTTAAAAATTTTTTTAATATTTTTTCCTTTTTTTTTCTGTTTTGGTGAGGCAAATGGCATTAAATGACTTGCCCAAGGTCACACAGCTGGTAAGTGTCAAGTGTCTAAGGTAGGATTTGATCTCAAGTCCTCCTAACTCCAAGGCTGGAGATCTATCCACTGTACCACCTAGCTGTCCCTATTCCCATTTTACAGATAGGAAACTGAGACAGACCAAAGTTAAGTGATTTGTCCAGGGTCACACAGCTATGGTTGGATTTGAATTCAGAGCTTTCTGACTCCAAGTTTGGAGTTATTAGCCAATGAACATTTTGGCAGCCATCTATGTACCATTTTGCATATCATATCTCTTTTGATCCTTACAATAACCAAGTGAGGGAGGGTAAATAAGATGAATAAAATTGGGTGGAATTAGGGAATATTTCCTGGAAGAGGTGAAATTTGAAAAAACAGAGCTGAGAGAAGACATTTCTATGGGCTTGGATAGGTTTGAAAGTTGTGCTCATTGTGGATTGATGACTGTTCACTAGAGACTTTGAGACCTCGGTATAATATACATTATGTAAAATAAAGAACTACCAAAGAGCAGAATTTTCTGTCATTTAAAATGTATGTAACAGTTACATGGAGAAATGCCCGTGATTGTCCTTCCCTGGATATTGTGCCCTTGGCATCTGTCTGCTTTGCCCCCTGCCCCAAGTCCCATCCCCCCCTGAGAATCCCAGCTTTGATAATTAGTATTTAGGAAGGGAGGAAGACTCATTCACCCTTCCCAGCTGCTCTGCTTTTGTATCCTCATCTTTAGGGGCAGGGGAATTAGCTTGGAGACAGCCAGTGGCTGAAGGCTTCCCAAGTTTAGGTGAATGGCCCAAGCCCGACCCTAGCCCCAGTGAGAGGCAGGTTTCACCTCGGCTTCCAACTCAGGCCAAGTTCAGGTTTCAACCTTTGCCTGAGGAGCAGTAGGAAAAAGAAAGAACTGTCCCCTCCACCCTGACCCTCCCACCTGCTCAGGGCCCCCAGGAGCAGGAACGCAGGATCCAGCAGCTGCAGTTTGTAGCCTGGCCAGACCATGGTGTTCCCGAGGCCCCCAGTTCCTTGGTCAGCTTTGCAGAGCTGGTACAGGAGCGAATTCAGGCTGCACCCAGCACGGCGCCCACCTTGGTGCATTGCAGGTGAGTGATGGGAAGAAGGGGAGCTGCCTCTGTTGGGAAGAGTCTGGAGGCCTAGGGAGGAGAATGCTGGGGGCTGTGAGGAGAGCTCCAGGCATATTCCCTTCTGCCCTTTGCCCAGATCAGCCTCCTTGTCACCCCCTGATCTCCCTCAGTGACTCTCTAATGCCCCCTCCTCACCATGGTGTCTTCCTAATCCCTACCCCTGACCCTGGTATCCCCAGGTCCTCAGCTCTCCTCCCCAGTGCCTCCTCACTTCCCACTCCACTTCCTCTGGTCCTCAGCCTCTAATGTAGCATCCCTGCCTCCTTCTGCCCCTCATCCCCACTGTCCCCCCGCCAATCATTCTACAAATTTCTTTCTCCTATTATACGTTGGACACCATGGTAGGTGCTGTGTGTTTGAGTGAATGTTGTATGTGTGTATGGGAGGAGTTGTACAAAGCCAGATAAGACACGTAATCCCTGTCCTTACCCTGGCCCCCATTCTTCTCCTCCCAGTGCCCTTTTCCTATTTGCTCCCTTTGCCCCTCTTACCTCCTGTTAAGTCAGACTAGGCCAGCCCATTGGGTGGGCCCCACTGGCTGGCCTGGGGCCCTGAGGAGGGATTGGGGCTCTGCTCACCTGGGACTCCCCTCAGCGCCGGTGTGGGCCGAACTGGCACTTTTGTGGCCCTGGTTCGGCTCCTACAACAGCTACAAGAGGAGCAGATGGTGGATGTGTTCCACACGGTGTATACCCTGCGGCAAAGCCGGCCCCTCATGATCCAGACCCCGGTGAGCACCAGGGCTGCTGAGGGAAGGGGGCAGAGGGAGGGTGGGGAGAGAGGGACGTCAAATGGCTACTGCAGTGGAGGGGCTTGAGGGCGCTCAAGTGACCACCCTGGGAAAGTCTTAGTGAATTTTGAGGTGGGCATAATCATCTTATTTTATTTTATTTACTGGTAACTTTCAATAATTTTCCACTATTAAAAAATTAAACATTGTTTTTTCAAATTAGCAAAAATCCATTTTATCTTTTTCCTACCTTTCCTTCCTTGAAGAAAAAAGAAAAACAAAACCCTTGTAACAAATACGCATATACAAGCAAAATAAATTCCCCTGTTGGTTGTGTCCAAAAAATTGTCTCAGTGTGCACCTTGAGCCTATCCCCTTTCTGTCAGGAAGCTTTCCAAGTGTTTATTAAGTGTCTAATATGGGTCTAATAAGCGTCTAATATGTTAGGCCTGGTTCTACAAAGGCTCACTATAGTCCCCAGTACATAAAAGCCCCAGGAGTCAGAAGGCCCACATTCTAATCCTACCCCTGACTACCAGCTTTGTGGCTTTGGACCTCAGTTTCCTCATTTGTAAAACATGGACATTCGTAGGATCAGAGACATAGAGCTGGAAAGGATCTCAGAAGCCAGCTGGTCCATCTTCCCCCAAAAACCAAGGTGCAGGGAGGTTAAGTGAATTGCCTGAAGTTAGCATCTGAGGTGGGCTTTGGGCCCGGGGCCTTTAATCCTAGACTCTTTGCCCAGACTAGCAGATCTCTAGAGTTCCTTCCAGATCTAACATTCAGCTTTCTATCGGTCACCAATGATGTCCCCGGTTCCCTTATCCCTCTCCCTGGGGTTCTCCCTCCTCCCAACCCTGCTAACTGTCCCACCTGGGAAAGCACTAGCCTGGACTCTCCTTCCCATCAGGCCCAGTACATTTTTCTGCACAGCTGTCTGCTGGAGAAGATTAGGGAGGAGCCAGCTGGGTCTCTTATGTAAGTCCTGACCCTTCTTCTTCTCCTAGTGCCCTCAGGCTGAGGGGGAGGTGCCCAGAGAGGCCTTGGGACAAAGGAAGCTTCCCACTCTGTTCCTCCATTGGGCTGCCCTGCTCAGGGGCAAAGTGGCCCTAGCTGGCATCTTACTGTATTCTCGTCTCCCGCCAGCTCCCGGCCCATCAGTGTGAAGAACTTCTCACAGAAGCATGCCAAGAAGTCGGCCAACTCCAACGCCGGCTTCCTAAGGGAATATGAAGTGAGATTTGGGCATCCCTGGCCCTCCCTCAGCCACATGCTGGTGCCATTCCCCAAGAGCATCTCTTACTATTCATCCATGTTGGTGGATATGGCCCCATGGGTAATATGAGCCTGTGCCCTTTGCCTTTCTCCCCAGCTCCTCCTGGAAGCCATCAAGGACCAGGGTAAAGCCCGACATCCAGCGGGCAGTAACTTCTCCCTTCTCCTTCCCTGTGAGTCAAAAGGGTCATGCTTCTGAGGAAAGGAGACCCATCCTTGATTGCAGGGTGTGAACTGTTCATGTTATTAGTGTGGCTATAAAGTGCTAGCCAAGAGGGGACCGTTCCCTTCTGTGCAAACCAGGGGTGGGGAACCCATCTGAAAATGACTACTGACGTTGAGACCCCAGGGAAGTGGGAGAGGCACCATCAACTGGGCCTGGAGAATTGTGATGTATTCATTGGACTCTAGTGAAGTATCAGTTTAACCTCAGCTTCAAATATTCTGAGGCCTGCCCTTTACCAACCTGCAGCAGGAGTTTGGTGGGAGATGCCAGGTGTTACTGGGTGAGTGGGGCATCAGTTTTGATCCCCGCCCCCCCTTTGCAGAAAGGCAGTTTGTTCCTTCAGCTGGGGCGGAAACCATCCCAAAGAAGACAGTGGGGCTAAAAAAATGGGACTGGGTGTGGCATGGCAGTGCAGTCCATTGTTTCTGGGTTAGAGTTACTTCATGCTAGGTCTCAGTTTCCTCGTCTGTGGAGTGAAGACATTGTACTAGAGATCACTGAAGGCCCTTTCTACCTCTAACATTCTGAGAGCTTAGCTAAATGGGAAAGAGTCAAGCTTTACTTAAGGGAAGGACTAGCCTGCCTTCCTATACTAAGCAGGATCCTTGAGCTAGGCTGGCTGAAAACAACTCTGGAGGCAGAGGACAGACAGAGTTAAACAGATTTGTTGTTGTTGAATTGTTTCAGTCATGTCTGACTCTTCATGACCCCATTTGGGTTTTTCTTTTTGAAGCATTTGGGGTTAAGTGACTTGCCCAGAGTCATACAGCTAGTAAGTGCTGTGTGTCTAAGGTCAAATTTGACTTTATTAATTTACTTTGATTTATCAACAATCACTTCCATAAGCTTTTGAGTTTTAAATTTTTCTCCACCTCCCTTCCCAAGACGGTATGCAGTCTGATATAGGCTATACATATACATTCCTATTAAACATATTTTCACATTAGTGATGTTGTAAGTAAAACCAATAGGAGGAACCACCAGAAAGAGGAAACAACACTCAACAGAAGAAAAAAAAATAGCAAATAGTATGCTTCAATCTACATTCAAACTCCATAGTTCTTTCTTTGGATGTGGTTAGCATTTTCCATCATGAGGCCTTTGGAGAAGTCTTAGATCCTTGTATTGCTGGGAAGGGTTAAGTCTATCAATATTAGTCATCATTCAGTGTGACTGTTATTGTGTACAACGTTCTCCTGGTTCTGTTCACTTCACTCAGCATCAGACCATATAAGTCTTTCCAGGTTTTTCTGAAGTCTGCCTGCTCATCATTTCTTATAGCACAATAGTATTCCATTACATTCAGATACCACAACTTGTTCAGCTATTCCCCAATTGATGGGCATCTGAGGCCAGATTTGGACTCAGGTCCTCCTGACTTCAGGACCGGTGCTCTATCCAACATGCCACCTAGCTTCCTCCATTTGGTGTTTTCTTGGCAAAGGTACTGGAGCGGTTTGCCATTCCCTTCTCTAACTCATTTCACACATGAGAAAACTGAGGCAAACAGCGTGAACTGACTTATTCAGGGTCATATAGCTAGTAAGCCTCTGAGGTCACATTTGAACTCAGATCTTCCTTACTCTAGGCCTGGCATTCTATCTACTGTGCCAGCTAGTTGCAGAACTTTCTTAATGATAACCTCTCTCACTTATACAGCTCTTTACACTTCATAAACTGCCTTACATACATTATCTTTTTTGATGCTCTCAGCATAAGGTCTGGGATTTCATCTATGTGGGTATTTTCTCTACTAATGCAAATAACAACCTTCTCCAGGGACATGAATCATTTTGGCCAAAAATGTTCGTCACTAGATAGCCAATCCACTGGTGATTAGCTTCTTCCACCTTGAGCCAGCCTGTCTTCCTTTCTCCCTCCCTGCCTCTCTTCCTTCTTTCCTCCCTTCCTTCCTCCCTCCCTTCCTCCCTCCCCTTTCTTCCTTCCTTCCTTCCTTCCTTCCTTCCTTCCTTCCTTCCTTCCTTCCTTCCTTCCTTCCTTCCTTCCTCTTTCCCTCCTTCCCTGTCTGGAAGTATAGCAGCTGCTCACAGGCTTGACCCCAATCCTGATCAGCCTGGAAGCTTTCACACCCACATTTCCAACCTCTGCTGATTTGCCCCTCCTTAAATCACCTATTGGTTCCCTGTTCCCATGTTACTTATTGTTCTGGTGCCAGACTTCATGATGATACTCAATTGGCTTAACTAATTGTAACTCAAGCAGTCCATCAGCCTCAGCCTCTCCTAGTAGCAGGGATTAAGGCATGCACCACCATGCCCAACCACCTTAGACTTTCTAAGTCTCAGTTTCCTCATCTGTAAAATGGGGTCAGAAATACCCACAGTAAATACCTACCTCACAGGGATATTGTGAGGTTCAAAGGGGACAATTTATTTAAAGCTCTTCGCAAACTTGAAATACAAATGTCAATTATTATTGCTATTGTTTTCTTATTTTATATTTGATGTAATTCACTGAGAGGAATCCTGGGACAGATCATTATTTTACCATTTTGTGTTTAATGTTTGCCAGATTACTTTGCAGGGGGAAAAATGGTTGTTTTTTGTAATTCAGTAAGTTTGGGGATATACATTCATTTTCTGGGGACTCACTGAAAACATCTCTGAGACAGTTCTAGTGGGGACAGGATGACTGGGCTGATATGTCCTTGGTTTCTTTCCCATAGGCTCTTGACTTCAGCCAGATTTCTATGTTTTGAGAGCTTTTCCTCTCCCATCAATAGGAGATTAGGTACATTCAGTATGTCTAAGTTCTTGTGCATCCATGTTATTCAGGGGGTTGTGGGTAGTGGTTTTGTCTGTCATGATGCTGCAGGGGTGAGATTGAGGCAGACAGAAGGCTCAGTGGATAGAGCACTGGGCCTGGAGTCAAGAAGACCTGAGTTCAAATCCAGCCTCAGACACTTACTAGCCGTGTGACCCTGGGCAAGTCACTTAACCTCTGTTTGCCTTAATCTACCGGAGAAGGACATGGCAAATCACCCCAGTGCCTTTGTCAAGAAAAGCCCATAGAGGGTCATGAAGAGTCTGACAACAACACGTGGCGAGATCTCAAAGATGTTTTGAAGTTTGGGCATGTTGCATGAGGATTTGCCATCTATTAGTCCATGAAGGATAGCAAGCTCCTGCTGTGTAGTTCTGGCCACTTAGGTTACCTCTTTCTAGGTGTTATAGGTGGAGGTTCTCAGTTTTCCAACCTGGAATGATAGCACAGTTTCCATCATTTCTTTGCAAAATCTATTCTTGTTCATCAGATGACAAAACACCTCCCAGATCCATGCTCTAAGGTGAGCATTGGGTAGGACCAACGACCAGGTTCCCATTAGCTCTTTGAGAAGTAAGGATCACTTTCCACACTACAATGAAGTATTGGGGGAAATCGCTGGAAGAGTACAGACTGTATAATTTTTATTTTATAGATGAGGAAACTGAGGCTGAGGAAGCAAAGTGACTTGTTTGAGTGAAGTCATGTAGTTAGTAAATAGGAGAGCTGGGTACGAAGCCCAGGTCTTGTCTCTTTCTGATGCCACGTTGACTTAGCTTGGTTGAGTTCTCCCTGCCTCAGTGAGGTCCTAACCACTCATTTCTCCTTCCTCTTCACAGATGACCGTAGGAGAGTGGAGCAGAGCCCCGCTGACTCTCTTCGGGCCTGGTTCTTTCCAGTGAGATGTTGCCCAGTGTCCACCCTCACTCTTGACCCTTGCCCCCCCCCAACCCCTTGCTCCTATGTTGCATTGTCAGGGTTCATGATTGCGGGTGGGGAGGCAGGGGTACCCAAGGTTGTTGGAGCTACCTTGGTATAGGACTGGCAATTTCTTGGGAGTTCCAGGGAATAGCCTCAGTCAGCTTCTCTCACAGGGGGAATCTTCCATCCAAGACCAAGTAGCATTGGCAGGTCCTGCAAAGGCAGAAGAGTTCTGGCAGTTGGTGTGGAAGCATGGTGCCCATGTTCTAGTCTCCTTGCACCCTCTGGATACTCAGAATGAGGTGAGGGGCTTGGTGGGAAAAGCAGAAGAAAGGGTGGTATCATGGTGGAGGTTGGGGGCGAGGGACCCAGGATAGCAGGGGCCTGGGTAGTGGGCATTAGGCAGCCCCATGAGTGGGCACTAGGGTGGCACTATATATGTAGGAATGGTGCCCGGCGTTGGAGCAGCCCGTCTGCACCAAGACGTTGACTGTCCGCTGTGTGGTACAGAGCGATGTGGCAGGATGGTTTTGTCTTCATCTGAATGTCAAACATGTAAGTGCCTGAACAATGGGGATGAAGTGAGGGTCAACCTGGGGGATCCAGGAGGGGGAGGCAGCCCAGATCTGGCTCCCAAACTTGCTCTTCTAGAATTGCCCACAGTGGGGAAGGAGGGAAGGAATGAGAGGCCTCTAGGTGGGGGTGGCCCATCACATTCTGCCTCCCCGCCCCACTCCCTTGGGTCTTCAGGAGAAGAAAGAAAAGGAACTCGGGGTGCAACTGCTGCAGTTCCCATGCTGGGAAAGTGGGCAGGAGCCTCCAGCCCAGGTCCTGTTGTCCTTCCTGGCAGCTGTGGACCAGTGCTACCCACAGGTCAACAGAAAGAAGCCAAAAACAATACTTGTTTACTCCAGGTACCAAAGAAAAACAACAGGGTGTATGGGGAGGGCTGGGGAGGGAGATGGTAGATCTGTATTTTGATCCCAGGTCTTCTTCCTGACCTGGGACAAATCCCCTTACCCTCTCAGGGCCTCAATTATTGTCATCTCTGAAATGGGTCCCATGTACCCAGTGTCCCCTTCTTACCTATCAATCAACAAGTGTTTGTTAAGTCCTTACTATGTACTAAGGACTGTCCTAAGCACCATGATGTAAGTACAAAGAATGAAATAGTCCTTCCTTACCTGCCTCACAGGGGTATTAGTCCATCAAGCATTTAGTAAGAGCCTACTATGTGTCAGGCACTGGGTATTTGAACCCAGGCAGAGTGCCCAGTTCAGGCATCCGGATTAATGGCTTCCCGTCCTCCCTCTGCTGTCCCCTGCATCCTTATCGCAGCTCAGGAAGGGTCCAGTTGAGGATTTTCTTGGCCATGGAGAGGCTGCTGGTGCAGGCAAAGTTCTGGGGCTCAGTGGACATCTTTGGTGTGGTCCTGCAGTTGGCATGGGCCTGTGGCTCCATGACGCCGACGCTGGTAAGAGGTGGGAGTGGGCAGGCACCATCTCCAGGCTGTGGGGAAGGGCAAGAGCTGTACCAGCCGCTGAAATGTGGGCACCAGGTGGCGTTGCTGACCACCTCTGCTCCTCTTCTGCTGAGTACCTTTGGAGACAGATGCTTCTGAGGCCTGGGGAAGACCTAATAGAGGCTTAAAGCTAAGAAAGGGGTTTTAGAAATCATAGCCCAACCCCTTTCGCTTTACAAATCAAGAAACTGATAGCCCCAGAGTTCTTCCCCTGACCCTGGGCTTTGTCCACCTAGACACAGTTCCTGCTCAGGCCCTTTGCCTTCTCCCTTCCCCCCAGGATCAGTACATTTACCTCTATGGCTGTGTGGGCAGTGCCCTGGCCAATGAGCTAGCCTAAGGAAAGGGGTGCAGCTGCCCAGGAGCCAAAGAGTCTTGGAGCCCTTCTGCTTTGGATTCAGATTGGACTTGGCTTGGCCAGTGCGGATGAGTCTCTGGGGCCTGGCCTGCTCCCCTACTGTGGGGGTGGTCTCCTTGTCCAGTCTTCAGGACTATGAAATTGTGGGCCTCTGCAAATAAATATAGATGATCAAAAACTAAGGCTGGGCGTATTCTGTCATCTTCTCTTCAACTCCTCTCTTAGCCCACACCAGGGTTAGAAGAAGGGTCAGAGCCAGGAATTAGTCGAGTGAAAAGAGAATAGGAAGGGTTCCTTATGCTTCATTCTTCTTTCTGAGTGAAGGGGATGAGGAGGGAGCTGGGGAGGGCTGGGGAAATCAGAGATTCCAAATGGGATTGCTGAAGGGAAGAGTTAGTGTCTACTTGAAGATACGTAGCAATAATAAAAAATAGTATGGCCTTCTATGAAACAAGTATGATTTAATATTTTAATATTCAGTGGATCTACAATCTCAAAGATGTGTGTTGACTTCTAATTGACTTCTAATGATTCATATTGAAACTACCCATACCTGCCCAACCTGGTGGGCTCCCATCTATGGTGGGCCAGGGTGCTATCTGTCTAGGGATGTGTCTCAGTTATGACATCTCTCTGTGTAATCACTATGGTGTGTCTGTGGGACCTCTGAACCAGGCTGCTGAGATGCGGCTATCTTGTGCTCCTGTGACACGTCTTTCCCCAAAGGGAGACATTGGGATTATCTATTCTAATGCTCTGTTGTCACTTGGTGTGGGAAGGTAGACACGGTAGTTGTTGTGACTCTTAGAGACAGACGTGGGCCCTGTCCTAACCTGTTGACCCCCAAACCAGTTGGTGAAGCATATTTCTCCTCCTGCCATAGCGATCCTTTCTGGGGAGGGGTGGCAGCCCAGATTCTAGCACCTCAGCAGGCTTCCCTAGGTCCTAGTCTCTTAGCCCTGTTCCTCTCCCCACCCCTCGCCATTTCCTTAGTCCCCAGTGTTCATATGATGCTTATCTCACGTATCACTGACATCTGTTTGCCATTAACAAGTTCCAATTAATCAATTACTAATGATAAATCCAAGAATCCAATAACAAGTACTTAAGAGTTCAGTTTCAAACACAGGCTTGGTCTGTGATTTGGAAATTCAAGCAATGATGGTGTCAAAAATACAAAGCAAGTAAAGGTCGTTGTCGTAACTCCGGGTGTTAGCACATTGCTCTGACAATGTGCTAGATGCCATTGTCATGTGCTAATAGCCAGATGCAGAGGGTAGTGCAGTGGATAGAGAGCCCTGGGGAGTCAGGAGGACCCGAGTTCAAATCCAGTCTCAGACACGTCTAGCTGTGTGACCCTGGCCAAGTCACTTAATTTCTGTTTGCTTTAGTTTCCTCAACTATAAAATGTAGATAATAATAGTACCTATCTCACAGAATTGTTATGAAGCTCAAATGAGATTTTTTTCTTTTTAAGCACTCAGTTGCCTGGCACGTAGCAGTCATTATATGAATTCTTATTCCTTTCCCAATACCCTACTGCCATAGCCCCCAGTCAGTTAATCTCCTACTTCCTCTCAAATTCCTACAGCCCTAGTGCTTTAGTCTCTCAGTCTTTAATAAGATCATAAGTTATAGACCTGGGAGGGACCTTTGAGATCATTTAGACCAGAGGTATCAAACTCTCCACTTGCAAAACTCCCTAGTGCAATCTGAACCAGATTAAAATGTAATTGGGAAATGTTTTAATGAAATAAATAAAAACGCAATATAACATGCAGCTGCTGTTCAGCCGTTTCAGTCGTATCTGACTCTTCGTGACCCCATTTTCTTGGCAGAGATACTGGAGTGCTTTGCCATTTTTTTCTCCAGCTCATTTTGCAGATCAGGAAACTGAGCAAACAGGGTGAAGTGACTTGCCCAGGGTCCCACAGCTAGTAAGTGTCTAAAATTGGCTTTGAACTCTTGAAGTTGTGTCTTCTTGATTCTAAACCCGGTGCACTGCTCCACTTAGCTGCCCATGCAATATAGCATAGATAATGTTAATTATTGGCTTTCCAAGCCAACGTGTGGTTCACAGAGATCCAGTTCTATTTGAATGTGACACCACTCCTCTCATTTTCACAGGGAAGGAATTTGAGGCTCAGAGAGGGGAAACACTTTTCCTAAAGGTGACTCAGGTAGTAGGTAGCCCTGCTAGGTTTAGATTCCAAATCTGATTCTCTTTCTGAGGTTAGAGGAAGGTTCAGGAGTGTGCTGGTAAATATTCACCAACCATCCTTCAGAAAAAGCAGGATATGGCTTTTAAATTTATTCTGTATCATTAACATTATTATTAATTAAGTCTAGACCAGTTGTACCAAACTCTGATGGAAATGAGGCCACTGAACTTAAATATACAAGGATCCATGAAGGCTGCAGATTGACTTAGAAAACCAGAGATCAACATTATATATGTTCTCTGATATTTTTATTTTGTTAAATATTTTCCAATTACAGTTTATTATGTACTATATCTTTTTTTTTTTTTGATGAGGCAATTGGGGTTAAGCGACTTGCCCAGGGTCACACAGCTGGTGTCAAGTGTCTAAGGTCAGATTTGAACTCAGGTCTTTCTGACTCCAAGGCCGGAACTTTATCCACTGCACCAACTAGCTGCCCTTCCAATTACAGTTTAATCTGGTCTGGACCTCACTCCACCTACAAGCCGTGTGTTTGACAGTCAACAAAACAATAAATCAAACCCTGATTTGAAGTGGATTTCTGACAATTTAACGATTGGTTCTCAGAAGCTAGTCTGAGCTGACTCCGGCAGGCACACCCTTGGAGGTGTCTACATGTCTCAACTCCCCACCTTTCTCTAAGGGCTGAACTTGGTAATTTGCTCTTCATTGAGTGGCCATCTCTCTCCCTATTCGGCCCCCATTTATTCTGTAGGAAAGCTGCTCCCTCTCCCTCTCCCTTTCCCCATCTCCCCCTATTCCTCCAGCTTCACCCATCCCTCAGTCTCCATCAACTATACTCCCATCCTTCTGCTCTTAGCTTCCTGAATTTCTTATTTGCCCAAGATCCCAGACCCCTGGTCCCTCAGTCCTCAGTGTGTCCTTTAGGCTAGGTGTATCCCAGTGGGAGCAGAGGGGAGTACCTTCCTTATGGAACAGGGTATCCCTCTTCCTCCCATCTACAGATGTTACCAGGGGTAGAGACAATGCAGTGTGCTTTATCTACCTGCTGATATCGTTGGGGACCACCCACAGCCATAATCACTCATCTGGACTCTCTGTTCCCTGCTAGGAGAGCCTGGGTGGGAGGGGGGAGTCTTGTGCTGTGAGGTCAGGAGATAGAGGCTTGGCTGCTCCTGTGGGAGGATGGAGATCAGGCCCTGCTGGCCACATTCTCTTGGTGCCTGCCCTCCTTTACCATCCTCAGCAACAGGAGCCTAAGAGAGAGGATACTGGAAAGGGAAAGGATTGGAAACTGAGGCGGAAGGGGAAAGAGAAAGATAAGGAAATTGGGAGGTGAGAGAGTTTAAGACACACTTGAATTTGAGTAGGTCTGGGTGTGTTTCCACAATGGGGTCTGGAAGATCGGACATCAAAAAGATCCTGGGGAAGATATCACCCAGAAGCGTACGAAGGGTGAAGGGTTTCGATCTGCATCTTACTGTGGATAAACTAGTTCTGGCTGTCTAGTTGAAAGAATGAATGGAAATGAATTTATTAATCACTTACTGTGTTCCAGGCACTGTGCTAAGGGCTGAGGACATGAATACAAGAAAGCAGAGCAATCTTTGCCTCAAGAAGTTTACAGTTTAATGAGACGGGGACACATGCAGGGGTGGGATAGCCAGGGACAAATGTTCAGGACAGGAAAGCCAGAGAGAATGGAGATTGGAGCCAATGTACTTTCCAGGACTGGAAGGATTGATTTGATTATTGCTCTTAGAGCTAGTGTTGGGAAGGGAGGAGGGGAAGAGAGATCTAGGGATCAGGGGTCAAGGGATCTAAGGATCAGGGGTCAAGGGAAAGGATGCAGGACTCCTTCAACGGAGCACAAAACAGATTCATGATTGTGAGACCATGACCCCAGTCTGCCTGCTTGGGATAGGCGCATATTAGCAGGGAGACTGAATGACGAGAAAAAACCCACACAATTCTCAGGATGTTGAAATCAGTCAGTCAACAAGCATTCATTAAGCACCTACTACAGGACTGCACAACCTGTGGTCGGCTAAGGGATTTCGGGCCACCCTCAAAATATCTAGAGGAAAGCATCCTCTACATTTTTCACAGGCCGCCTGAAATCCTTTGGTATGCCCACAGGCTGTGGGTTGTGCAGGCCTGATCTACTATACTCCAGCCACTGCGCTAAGTGCTAGGGATATGAAGAGGCAAAAGACAGTCTCTGCCCTCAAGGAGTTTACAATCTAATGGGGAGACACAAGCAAACAAATAGATACAAAACAAGCTATATGCAGGTTAAATAAAAACTATTCTACACAGAGAGAAGGTACTAGAATTAACAGGGGTTGTTCCTTCCTGTAGAAGGTCAGGTTTCAGTAGAGACGTGAAGGAAGCCAGGGAAGGCAGGAGGCAGACAAGAGTGGGGAGAGAATTCCAAGCATGGGGGACAGCCAGAGAAAATGTCTGGAGCAGAGAGATGGAGTGTCTTATTCTCAGAACAGCCAGCATCACTGCAATGAAAAGTATGTACACAGTGGGGATAAGGGGCTTGTTTGTTCCTTGCTGTTTGTCCTTTATTCTCGAAGAGGACCATGACATCAGAGAGGTTATACCATGACTTGCAAATGAATTGGATTTAAGTGAGGCAGGGCTGTGCAAAGTCAACAGCCTCACTTTCTCCTCTGGAGCCAACTGGATCCAGTGGCCAGATCTAGATCAGGATGACTGGAGATGGCTGGGTTTGAGAGGTAAGCAGACTGGAAAGCTGGGAGTGGCTGGGTTAGGTTATAAGGGGCTTTGAATGCCAAATAGAGGATTTTGTATTTGATCTTGGAGGTGAAGGGGAGCTACTGGAGTTTATTGAGTAGGGAGGGGTGACATGGTCAGACCTGCACTTTAGGAAAATGACTGGCGACTGAATGGAGGATGGACTGGAGTGGGGAGAGACTAGGCAGGTACACCCACCA